ATGGAGCACCGCCATGCACCCCTCGGTTAGCAGCCAAACACTTAGCCACTGCACCCCAGGGTGCCCCAGCAAAGACACATCTGATGGAAAAAGACAAGTCTTTTACGAAGACAGTGCTTTGCAAAGTCAGTAATGGTGCTACTGATTAGTTTTTCAGTTGTCCCTCACACACACACCCTTTTTCTCATTGCTACATCTGAAGGTTGACTCAAATGATTTTAAGGAAAAGTTCCCTATCTTTGATAATGAAATAAGGTGCACTGCCTCGCTTTGAAATGCAGTTAGGGAAAGTCTTTGAAAGACCAGCCTCATTGAGGCTTACTTCATGGGCCCTCCCATATGAATTATTTATAATACTAATTGAAATAGCTGTTTATCATCTTGGTGAGTGGTCTAAACTACTTGACAGGATCCATCTTACTTGTGGGTAGAGCTTTTTCTGGTACTGATGTGTCCGCCCTGTGCCTTGTAGCACTCATTGATGCTGCAGTGGAATAAAACCTGGGACTTCTGGGGACGTTGAGTGCCCTCGAAATGGGTCGTCTAAGTGGTCGTTAGTAGCTTAGAAAAGCTATTATCTTTAAAAAGTGAATCATCAATTCCCCAACGCTGTTGTAGGCTCCTGCCCTTTGAAACTGAAAGCGGATGTGGGGCTGTGGACATGTTACCAGCAGACCATCATTCTGCGCCTGTCTCACCTCTGAAGGAGGGGCGCTTCAGGCTCTGAGAGATCAGCCAGTGTGGTTACAAACCTGCTGCTTGGCTGTCAGAAGCTGAGAGCGCCTGACCCCTAGCCAGTGTCCTGTGACAAACATTGGCCAAAGCTTTCGTCACCAGATAATTTAAAATACCACTTATATGAGGGGGCTTCAAAATGTCCGTGGGACAATTCATCATCTTTTCACTCCTTTTTCATACCAATTATGGAAAGCTTTTTTGTTTTTGTTTTAGCATGCCAACATGGATTTGCCTGCCAATCTCTGAATTTACTTAAAACATCCGACTTGGGGTGTGTGTGTGTATCCCCCCAAAAAATCAGTGGAGAAAAGTTCTGCTGGGCGGAGCTTTCATAGTATGACTTTGTCCCCCACTAGACAAGCATCGAGCAACTCCCTCTGAGTTAGTGCACCCCTGCACTAACCCACTTCCCAGTGCAGCACCTGGGAAGGCTCTCTGGTAACAGTGAATTTTTTTCATAAAAGCAGTTTCACTCGAACCTCTTTTTTTTTTTATTTTGATGGTCGATTTAAGTGAACAGCGTGTGGCTGTGAAATTTTGTTTCCTGCTCAGGAAAAATGCAGCAGAAACTGTTGTGATGTTGCACACAGCTTACAAGGACAGCGCTATGGGAAAAACTCAAGTGGATGAGTGGTTTTCCCATTTCAAAAAGGTGAAATGTCGATTGATGACAAACCTCGTTCTGGACTTCCGTTCAACTTTCCCAATGACTTGTGCATTTGGAGTTCATTCTACCAGGTTGGACTGTTAATCAAGCTTTCTATTTGGAGATTCTGAAAAAATTGCATAACAGTATGTGACCAAAATGGGCTGATTTGTGGCAGACGGTGGACTGGTTTTGCCACCATGACACTGCACTGCTCACGCGGCCATCTTGGTGCACCAGTTTTGGCAAAAAACAGCATGCCTTTCTTGCCCCGCACACCTGACTCACCTAACCTTTCTCCATGCAACTTCTTTTTGTTTCCAAGAATGGAGAGGGACATGAAAAGGCAGCAATTTGATGGCATAGAAGTGCAGAAAAAACAAGGGAGGTGCTGTCAGGCATCCAAACAGATGAGTTTGAAAAATGTGTCCAAGAATGGAATCACAGATTTGACAAATGTATTAAGTGTAATGGGAAGTACTTTGCAGGTGATACAGTTGTTTTGTAAAAAAAAAAAAAAAATTAAATACATAACTTTGAAAACAAGATATTTTTTTTTGGCCTGCGAGGGGGTGGGGGGAACTCCTCGTATATAAAGAGCTCATTTTGTTTATTAAAAGCTGCCCCACCCCCATGTCCATCTCTACTCTAGTTCCTATGTTCCCTAATGTAGGAAATTAGAATGATAGGGGAGGGGGTGTTCACTGTTGTTTAGTTTGTAATGCGCCCTGGTAGCATAATGGTTACCAGTTGGGCTGCTAACTGCAGAGTCATCAGTTCAAAACCACCAGCTGCTCAGTTCCTTGGGAGAAAGATGAGTGAGGCTTTCTGTTCTGGAGAGTGACAGTCTCAGAAACCCACAGGGGGCAGTTCTACCCTGTCCTAGAATAGGGTTGCTATGAGTCGGCATCGAATTGATAGCAATGAGGTTGGGTTTTGGTTTTTGGTTTTCTTTATTTAGTGTGAAGTGGTTGGGAATCTTGTATGTAGGTAGTCCGTTTCCCGTCTGATTGCCCTCGGTGAGAATGTCCAGGAATGGTGATGTAGTAGGAGGAACATGCAGTGTACCCAGCAGGCCAGGATTCCACCCTGACTTGTGTTTATTTACTACTTTAACTTCTCTGCACCATGGTAGAGTGATTCAAGGGTGGGGTTTCTAGAAGGAGATAAACCCGCTTCTCTGAAGGCTCTTGAACATAAATCAGCAGCAAGAGCTCGGAGCTCCGTATCTGCAGAACCAGGCTCTACGCTGTAGCGCCTATGGGGTGTCCTAGAACTATCGCCCATCTCATGCCCAACCCAGCTCTGGTTCTTTCCTAATTGTCAGCATGCATTCCCTCTCCTGGTGGAGCGAACCACCAGCTAGATATCTAGTGGTCATCTTGGACATTCTGAGCCCCTGGGCCTCCTGCGCCTAATTCGCCCATCTGTGATGGGACATCAGGACTGTTACAGGCAAGAAGAACCTTGCCTGCTAAAAGCACAGGGGACTTTAAGCACGTACTGATGATAATCTCCAAGTACATACAGCCTGTAGGATGGATTGTACCTCAATGTTTAGAAAACACCCCCCACCCCCACCCCAATCCACATAGCTAGACCAATAAACATCATGGTCAATGGAGAAAAGATTGAAGTTGTCAAGAATTTCATTTAACTCTCAGGTCCATGAGCAAGGTCCACGGAAGCACCAGTCAAGAAATCAAGCAGCGTATTGCACTAGGCAATTCTGTTGCAAAAGATCTCTAAAGCCTAATGAGCAAAGATGTGACATCGAGGGCTAAGGTGCTCCAGACCAAGCCATGATATTTCAGTCACCTCACATTCATTCAAAAGCTGGACAATGAATAAGGAAGACCAGAGAGGGGAAAGAAGGATGCATTTGAATTACGGGGTTGGTGAAGAATACAGAACAGACTGCATAACCCCGTGGCACAGTTGTTATGAATTGGGCTGCTAACTGCAAGGTCAGCAGTTTGAAAACACCAGCCACTCCTTGGGAAAAAGATGAGGCTTTCTCCTTCCTTTGTCAAGAGTTAGTCTTGAAAACTCACAGGGGCAGTTCTACCCTGTGCTACTGGGGCGCATGAGTCCGCATCGACTCACTGGCGGTGAGTTTGCCTGTGTTTGGTTTTTGCCAGCAAGAAGGAGGGGGCGCCAAAACCCACAAACTAACATCTATCAAGTCAATTCTGGGTTTTCATGATCTTATGGGGACAGGGTAGAACTGCCCTTTTGGGCTCTTGAGACTTTCAATCTTGTTAGGAACAGACCTGTGGAGAAACCTCAGACCTGGTGGTTAGCAGCCCAGGATGGCCTACTCCGCCACCTGGGCTTTTCTGGACTGCCAGAAGAACAAGCACATCGGTTTGGGGAGAAATCCAGCCAAATGGTCCATAGAAGTGCGGTTGGGGAGACATTGGGCGTGTGATCAGGAGTGACCAGTCTCTAGATAAGGCTTCATGCTTGGTAGAGGGCCAGTGAAGAAGAGGAGCCACCCTATCTATCAATAAGCTAGGTTGGCACAGTGGTTGCAACAATGGGCTTAACCTAACAATTGTCAGGATTGCGCAAAACGGCGAAGCATGTGCTTGCTTCTGATGTGCAGAGGGTCCCTGTGCGTCAGAACCTTCTCATCAGCACCTCATGGCAGCAAGAATATCTTTGGAATCCTGTCTATTTCCCTCCACCCACATCATCAGAACCTAGTCTCTCATCTCCTGGGGCCCACCACACTAGACCTCTGACAGGTATCCCTCATTGCTCTTCCCAGCGGTGGGTGCTTAAACTCATTCCCTCCCCTCCTGGCCCCTTTTCTCCTGAGAACTTTGCAACAAAGGCAAGTGCTGCCAGAAACACCTTGGATTCATTACAAGTTGACTTTGAATCCTTTTGGGGTCGTTGCGAGTTTCAGAAACATTTTACTGTTGCCAAATTTTTTCACAACTCCCACAAGGGACCTCGGCCCCCAGTTTAAAATTAGACTGTTTGGGACCACTGCATTATCCCTCCAGCAGGTGTGCCCACCCAGGCCCTGCCCCTCAACCAGCTGATGAGTTCTGCAGGTGCCACCAGCTGAGCATGCAGCTCAGGGGAGCTTCAAATAGTAGGTGCTAAGCAGAGGGTCAAGTTTTAAATGCCCTCCAGTGGTTTCTCAAGGCTTTTTTTTTTTTTAAGTTCCCTCTTTTTAACAGCTTTATGGACAACATAATACACGTACCATACAATTCAATGGTTTGAATACATATATCTATTTTTTTTATTAAGACTTTATTAGCTGGTGGTCAAGGGGCAGCTAGAGCCTAACTCACCCTCGAGCCAGAACGCATAAGGGGGGGTGGGGGGCGGGGAGTGGTGGTGTTTATACTTTGGGAAAAACAAGGTAAAAGGGCAGGTGACGTCATGCTATATGGAAGATGAGAATTTATAAAAATAAAACAGGTTTACCAGCAACATCAACACTTTCAAAAATAAATGCAAGGGCAGCAGTTAACAGAATGTACAGAAGGAATTACAGTAGTTACAAAGTGGACACACCTGAGCGTATTTTTTAAGAGTTGTACAGTCATCGCCACAATCAATTTTAGACCCTTGCTCTTAAGATAAAAACCAGGGCTTGCTTCAGCGGCACATAGGCTGAAATTGGAACGATCCAGAGAAGACAGGCCTGGCCCTGTGCAAGGATGACATGAAAATGCGTGAAGCGGTCCATATTAAAAAAAAGATAAAGACCAAAACCTTAACATATCCTGAAACTGCAACTTGCTTACCTGGCCACCTTCCCACCTTTCTTAGGGTAGGTTGTGCAGTTAAGCACTTGACACTGACCTAAAGGTTGGTGCTCTGAACAACGCAGAGGCACCTGGGAAGACACTGAAACCCTCGAGAAATGTTTCCATTCTGCACCCATAAGTCACCATAAATCCCAGTCTATCCAAGGCTACCTAGTAACAAAATACATGACATTCTTTGTCATGTAATAAGGGCCATTTATGAATTAGTGCTACAGTTCTTAACTAGCATGAATCATAATGAAAGGAATCACAAAGTAGTGTGTCCCCTGGTATTTTGAGGATCGAGTGCAATCATGTATATGAAAGGTATACTACAAAGCACTAATGAGAATTTAATTATCAGCCTGAAGAATACAAGGTGACATTTTAAAATGGGAAAAGTTCTTGCCAAATACAGCATGCATTCAGTGGATAAGAATTCTCCAGGTCAACTTAGGATAAGTCCCTTCCATCAGAAGTTGAACTTTAAAAAATCTTTTTAAGTCATATCAGTCCACAAACTCTGGTGGCCTATTGGGGTGTGTATTGGGCCGCTAACTGCAAGGTCAGCAGTTTGAAACCACCAGCTGCTCCTTAAGAGAAAGAAGATTTACAGCCTCGGAAACCCACAACGGTTTTCTGTCCTATAGGGTCACTATGAGTCAGAATCGCTTCTATGGCAGTGAGTTTTGGGGGTGTGTGTGTGTGTGTGTGTGTGTAACCCCTTGAACATTACTACACATGTGGGAACTAAGGCGCCCCCCTCAATGCCTCCAAAGAGGCAGGGCTGAAGTAGAACTGGAACTGGGCACTGTTGTACCTCCCCCAGCACAAAGTCCATTTAACCAGCGTTACTGAATGCTAGAGCGGATCGCTGGACTCGCTGCAGGAGTGACTCGGCCCTCCCAGGTGTGCAGCGCCCCCTGCTGGCCATGGGAGTAGAGCACAGTCAGCCCCAAGCTGTGACTAGTTTCCTAAAGCCGGTTGTAGCATGTTAGGGAGCCAGTGGTCCCAGGGTGGCAGAAGCAGAGAATGCTCAGCTGATACCCCTTGAAGAAAAGCCTGGCAATCAGCTTCTGAAAAATCCCCCATCGAACGCTCTGCAGAGCCCGCTTCTCGGCCACCCACCCAGGGGTCGGCATGAGTTGGGAGTGACTCAGTGGCAACTGGCGAGGAGCCAGGTTTGGCCTGTCCCTTGACTTTGGGACCTTCTGGTCAAAAAAGGAGGTCCTCAGTGGGGCTGTGTGTCAAGCATTGGGCTACTCACTGCAAGACTGCTGTTTGAAACCCAGCACCCACTCTGCAGGAGGAAGATGAGGGTATCTGTCCTGTGAAGATTTCTCCGGTCAGAACTCTAGAGAGGGTCACTGTGTGTTAGAATTAACACAGTGTCGGTGGCACTTAGCAGAAACTTCTGGTGAAGCTGGATTTACATCCAGAGGTGCTTGGAATCACCAGTTGAACACTCGACCATTCCTGTATCAAGAAACGATTAGAGATGCCTGAATGTCAAAGTCAACTCTTAGGTTGGTTTTTTTTATATCCACATGCTGGATATGATGCTGACCTTCCTTTCCCTGGCAGAACTGTCCTTCCATCTGACACTGGGCCCTTTCTATCTGTGTATGTGTGAAAGCCCCCCCAGTTCCGAAGGAGGGTCTGCATTTGCAGGTCGTTTTTTGTTTTCAAAATAAAGGGAGTGGCAGTGTGCTGGAGCCCCAGTCTAGAGCTTGGTTGGGTGTGTTTGTTTTCATTGAGTCTATGAAATGGAAATAAGGAGCCCTGGTGGCATAGTTGTTACACATCGGGCTGGGACCCACAAGGTCTGCAGTTCAAAGCCACCAGCCTCTCCATGGGAGGAAAGAGAAGCATTCTATTCCCATAGAGTTACAGCCTCGGAACACTAAAGAGCAGTTCTACCCTGTCCTCTAGGGCTGCTCAGCAGCGGGTAGGGGTGGGCCATGAGAAAGAAACATCCGACAGGAATCTGCTATAAATCTGCATGGTAGCAGACAGACTCACATCTTTCTCCTTCAGAGCAGCTGGTGGGTTTGAACCACCAAGCTTTGATTAGCTGTCCAGTGCTGCCCACTGTGTTACCAGGACTCCTTAAAATTACTGTTAAAAACAAAAAACATACTGCCTTTGAGTCCATTTTGATTCATAGCAGCCCTATGGACAAAGTAGAATTTCCCTTGTGGGCTTCTGAGGCTTTCTGAGAAAATCTCATCTGTCTCCCTCTGAGTGGCTGGTGATTTCAAACTGCTGACCTTGTGGCTAGTAGCCTAACAAGTAACCACTACACCACCAGGGCACCTTAAAAAAATAATGAGACCCGGTAATAAGGAACACTTAGTATTTTTATCAATAGCCTCATAATGAATAAAGCAAAATGCTTATGTTTACTTACAGAAAGAGGAAGTCATAGATTTTGCTATTATCCAAATGGGATAGCTATCCTTTAATGTAAAAGCCAAACATCTAAAAATCCTCCTATAAAATATTGGTAAATTTGACGGCATTGAAATATAAAATTTTAACACATTAAGACACTATAAATAGAAAATGAGGAAAATATTAGCAGTATGTGGCAAAGGTCTCATGTACCTTATATGCAGAGTTTTGTTTGTTTGCTCTTATGCAGAGATTTTATAGACTTTAAAGACAAGCAGCCGGTAGAAACAGACAAAATTCCTTAACAGAAGAGGAAATAGAATTTGTTGATAAACAAAAAATGTGTTTTGTGTCACTCACCATTACATCCACAGAAAGTTAGAAGTGGTATTGACAAAGACTCGTTAGCAAGGATTGGGGGTGTCCTAGAATGAAAACAAACACCCTCTACAAGTAAAATCAAAGAGCTTTTACTGGAAGACAAGAGACAATCCAGACTGGGAAAGTGTCCAGAATGCTCACAGTAAACAGACAATCCAGATAGCAACAAAGCAGCGAATATTCTTATACGGCCAAAGCAAGAACGGAAACTACACAATTACAGTTTGCTGAAAAGTATTGACGTAGTTGAAGGGAGGCTTTCTGAAAGTGGGTTCTTAGTGAATGAGAATTGGTGGCTGGCATATATTATTGGTGGAATTAATGGTTGGTTAAGGGCATGTAATCGCAAATATATGTTTTTCGGATAAGTACAGACAGTCATAAGACATGCTTTTCAGAGAACATGTTATTAAAACTGCTTTCCTCAAGCACGTCTTTTCCTAGCGGTCAGTTGTAAAGATTTGTTGGTAATGCTGTGTGTCAAGATCCTTTGGACATTTGCTTATCACATCCTGAACCGGTTTGACCATGGATGAAAGACCTCCTTGGGAACAGACTGTAACATCCTGGATCTTTCCAACCACAGATACTTAATGTTTCCTTATATGGCTAGGTCAATACAAAGGTTAAACACTGTGGGGTGGAATGGGACAGGGAGCCTGCTATTAAAATGTAACATGAATTCTAGATTCATGTCAACTTAAAATGGAGTAAGGCTCTGCTTTCAAGCTGTTATATTTACATGTACCGAGTGCTTCAGATTTTAGACTTTCAAACATTCCCTCTTTTTGATCAAGGATTTCCATGAAATTCTTTGATCACGCATAAGGTAGTGTACTTTCTTCTCCTTGGAGCCCTTCATTTTCATTACCTTTTACATGGCTACTTGCTTAGGTACACATTTTTTAAATCCTGAATGCCTTCCTTTTGAATGGCTGGACACCATCCACTATTTCATCCTGCCTAGATTTAGCCTTCAGTCTTAAGCGATCGGTTGATCGTTTGATTAGTATGGAGTAGGGCCGTATTAGAGGAACTTACTGCTTTGTCAGTGAAAGCCCTCGTCATGAGAGCTCAAGTCCATCAAGAAAATAGCTTTTATCAATGTACATACATAAGTCACGTCATTGTGACAGAGTGGTTCTCTGAGTCAAAGCACTGGCATTAACCTGCCAATTAGGACATTTTAATAATACCATTAAAAACTATTTTTAATTGTTCCAATTATAATGATAATAATCATAGGTATCTTGTCCTTAATAAAATTGATCTAATTCAAGAACCTGCGGGTTTAGGTAACCAACAGAAAATAGCAAGGGAAAAGGGGAATGGGCAACCTTCTGATGACTTTCTTTAATACCCTGCTCCTCCTCCCCAGAGGTGTTAACTTACATAAAATGGGAGGTATTAGCAGTGGCATCTATTGCTCCTGCTGTGGTAACAGAAAAATTAAGGAAAGATTGTTATCTAAAACTCCTTTAGAGGTTAAAGGCGTCTCCTGAGCTAGCAAAGAATCCGCAACATCGCAGCCATCTGTCCTGTAGTGTCAGCTATCTTCTGGACGGCATGTCCTCAATCAGTGACCCCCACAGCAAGGGCGAAGTGCCCTTTAACCGGATCTTAAGCCAGGCTTCTCTTTCAGAAGATCTCCTCTTCACCAGGCCCAGTCCTCTGTAGACTTTGTTCCCCTTTCTCTAAAAGGTTGAGCTCATCCGTCCACACTTTCCTTGTCAAAGCAAACATTTAAAGGCACACCTAAATGTCCTAAGATACATCAGTCCCTCACATTCTAGGCATTCAGACAGGACAAAGCCCAGACACCACACTCTTCATTTGGGCTTGTATTGGCAATGGTGGGGCATCTTGAGCTTTCAAGTAAAAATATGTCTCTGTAGAGGGCACCTGTTATACCTGTTCCATTATGTTTATAAGGGGCAAGGATGGTTTGATTTATTTCTTTAAGCCAGTTTTCTGTCAAGGAGTTATGGCAGACAGGCCGCCTTCCTAGTCTTAGTTCCACAGATGAATACAAGAAGACTTCTTTCCCTCCAGGCATGCTACTAAGTTCATGTAAAAACTGCGCTCCAAAATCTGGGCAGGGCCATTTTAAGGAACTAAGCTTTCATTTTTACATTCTGAATGGTTCCAGGCCACTTCAGAAAAGTGGTAACTCTACTCAGAGCTAGGTTGAAACAAGGGACCTGGGACTGAACTAATAACCTTGATATTAAAGCTTCACACACAGGGCTGGCTTCAGTGATATCGAAGCTGGTAGTAGTGGGGTGGGGGACATAACAGACAATTCAGGTTGAGAGAAATTAATGAACCTGAATGAATGGTGCCAGGTTGTGGAATTAATGGCCAATCCAAAAGTCAGACAGGTTGTCTGGGCCTGAGCATTTTTAACAAAGGTATTCTCATGTCCACCAGTGACTTAATAGGGGCTATGACTAGCAATAGGACTGCAGCAAAGAAAGGCTGTATAAGGAAGGAAATTAGTCCCACAAAGAGAAAGTGGGGCATTGAGGAGGTAAATTATGATCACGATGAAATAAATTCCTGTGGCTGGCCTGTAAGAGGTGGCAGCAGTGCTACAGGAAAATAAGATAACAGAACTTCGGGCCAGCACCCAGGGTTCACGAGCAGAGAGCTACAGTAAAGCCTCCAAGGCCTAGTTGGTACAACAGCAACTTCAAAAGCAACTACTAGTAGGCACAGCGCAACAACCCCTTTTTACCCTGAAAGTCTATAAACTTGAGGCCTGTGTTGTTAGGTGCCTTCCAGTGGGTCCTGACTCCTGGAGACCCCGTGCCCCTCAGGACGAAGCACCTCCTGGCCCTGCGCCGCCCTCACAGTCGTTAGATGTTGAGCCCATCCTGGCAGCCACTAGGTTGAACCAGCTTGTCAAGAGTCCTCTTTTTCGCTGCTCCTCCGCTTTCCAACCATGATGTCCTTTGCCAGGGACTGTCCTCTCCTGAAAACATGTTCAAGGTGCATGAGACAAAGCGTCAACATCGTTTCTTTTAAGGAGCTTTCTGGCTGCACGTCTTCCAAAGCAGATATATTTGTTTTTGTGGCAGTCCATATTCGTATTCACCAGCACATAATTCACATAGAGTGATTCTTCTTCAGTCTTGCTTACTAATGTATGTGAGGGGAGAAAGTACCCTGGCTTGGGTCAGGCAGCCCAAAGTATGGAGTTTAGACCATACAATAAAATTAAAACAGCAAATGTGATGAAAAGCAATAGGCATTCGGGAACTGATTGTGGTAGCAATTACACAGTTCTGCTTGATGTGATTGAAATATGGAATGATATGTATTAAATGCCAACTAGTTACATTTTAAAAAGCAATCGGCAAAATCCAGATCTTTTCTCTTTATTCAGATCTTGTTCTAAAGTCTTAGGGCAGGTTCTCTGCTCCTCGTGGAGCAAGCAGCTTCTGGCCGTCTTGGTGGAGTGCGAGCCTGCCTTTGGATTGCTACAATCCACGGAGGAGCTGAAGCCTCTGTTCTTTGGGAGAAGTAAGCCCAAGGTGTAATTCCCCAGAATTTAGCAGCACATGGACTAGTTCAAAGAACTAAGTAAGATTCCTTTCCATGGATGCTAGAAGAAATCTTTTCTTTGGTACCTCTTTCAATAACCGTAGTCTCTTGAGTGTGTCTTTGAAACAGGCACCTCAACAGATCTGTTTTTTCAAAGGTCAAAAGTTATGATTTTTAGTGAATCAAAGCCTGGTAAGATTTCAGTTACTGGTTGAAACCAAATTAGAATCCATTATTGCCATCTCAGGAGAGAGAGCGTAGGCTTGTCCAGTGACAATTTCATGAAGAGTTAATGTGTGGTCCAAAAAGAGGGGCCTCGAGTCATAGAAGAGGAAGCCACTTGGGTGCTTGGTAAGTGTGACGTAGCTGGAAGCTTGGCTTGCTGATTCTTTAATTTTATCCCCTTGGGCTGATAAAGATGGTGGAATCTCTGAAAAATAGGAAAGATCTTACACACTGCCTGTTTTATTTGACCTTGGAATGAGTGCCTGCGTCACAACACGAGGTTTTAGAATCCCCTCCCCCAACTGGGAATAATATTTCCAAGTTTCTTGGCCATAAACGTGGTGGTGATAGCCTTAAAGCTGGGGTAAGCTTCTATCCAGGGAGGAAATCGAAAGATCATTACTAATAGCCATTGAAATGAGGGAGCTGCCCCACATCAGTCTGCCATTCAAGCACAGGTAGGCCTGCTGGGCAAAGGAAATTTCCCAGGCAAAGTTTGACAAAGACAGGAGGAGATCGAACAGAATGAGTGACTTAATCGGCTGCATTTCAAAAATGCCCCCACATTAACCAGTCAATTGGCATAGGGTAGCCACAAAAACTATCTTCCACATTTTACTTGGATGAGTGGCAGCTGGGGTCATAAAAGCTTGTGAGCAACTATCTAAAGTGCGCCTATTGGTCTCTTCCGTCCAGAGCAAAGAAAATGGAAGACTCGTGGAAACAATTAGTCTAGTGGACTAATGGACCACACAAACCTCAGCTTCTACAATCCTGAGACCAGAAGAACTAGATGGTGCCCGGCCCCACTGCGGACTGCTGTGAACAAGATCCTGTCCGAATTCCTGGGACAGAGTGAGAGAAAAATGTAGAACAAAAGTCAAAATCATCAAGTAGACCAGCCAGACTGGTCAGATACAGGATGGTGGAACCCTCGAGACTATGGCCCTTAGTCACCTGTCCCACGCACCTGGAACCGAACTCACCACCGGGACTCCGTTTTCAGCCAAAGAACAGACACGTCTAAAGGGGAACAGTAACACTAAGGAGGTATGCACTCCTAAAAGTAATGCCGTTCGAGATCAAACAGAACAGCATTTGCTCCGGGGCAATGTTGAGAAGGCAGACAGGGTCAGGAAAGGAGGAGGAAGGGGCACAGGAAACGCAGGGAGGAAATGGGAATGGGGACGCTACATTGTGCAGCTCATAATCGGTGCTGTGAATCAAAACATGCACAAATTGCTAAATGGAAACTGATTTGCTCTGTAAACCCTACCCAATTCACAATAAACATGATGTCACCAATATTATTTTCCTTATATTAAGATTTAAGTTCTACAAGAGCCCTAAAGTCCTACAACCCTCCTTTTATCTTTTTTGTAGTGGGCATGGGGTCAGCTACAATAGTCCTTTTTCTCTAGGGTTGAAAGTTATCCCTATTACTGAGATTTTAGGTCCCAGATTTTTTTATAGAAGGTTGTAACTTTTCTCTGGAGACCTTAGGACCTCCAGTGTAACAGTTGGACACTGAATGAGACAAGCTAGTGGGGAGTTTGAGCGTGCTGTCAGCTCATCAGCATACTGTAGTAAGTGGACTCAACATTTGAGAAGCATATTTATGAGATTCTGTGACCCTATGAGGCATGGCACTCTGTGTGTATTGTTAATCTTCCCACACAAAAGAAAGTAGGGATTGACTATCTGGGTGCACCAAACCAAAATCACACCAAACCATGCCATCAAGTCAGTGCTGACTCATAGTGACCTCTAGGTCAGGGTAGACCTGCCCGTGTGAGTTCCCAAGATCATAAATCTTTATAAGAGTAAAAGCCTTTCTCCGGAGGAGCAGCTGGTGGTTTCAAACTGCTGACCTTTAGGATTGCAGCCTGATGCATAACCACTATGCCGCAAGAGTTCCTTTTGGGTGCACAGGGATACTGAAAAGGCACTGTAAAGATATGTTACCGGGAAATTAGTAGCTTCTGGTATTATATTTGACAAAAGGTAGTTGGAATTTGGTACAAATCTCCATCCCCACTTCCAAGTTTCCGTAGAAGAAAAACAATATCCTTTCTAGGGAATCATATAGGATATTATGAAGACGCCCTGGTGGCATAGTGGTTACACGTTGGGCTGTGATGCAAAAGGGCAGGCGTTCAAAACCACTAGGGCTTCCACGGGAGAAAGACTAGGGTTTCTACTCTCATAAACAATTATAGTCTTGGAAACTTATAGGGTAGTTAGGGTCCTATAGGGCCACTATGAGTCATCATTGACTGGTGGCAGTGAATATAGGGTATTATTAGACCCTGGTCAAGAAGCTTTGAATAATGGGTGCTAATCCTTTCCCCTGCTTCCTTCCTCAAGGCGTAACTAGGATGTTTCTAGTAGGAGCTCAGAGATGTCTGTTTGGATTTTAATGGTATCTGCAAGCAAAATAGCATAAATATCAACAGAGTTTCAGGAACTAAAGATCTCTTATCAACAAAAGAAGGAAGAAGAGAGGAGGTTCCTTTTTAAGTAAGCAGGTTTATAGTGCGGAAGAAACACGCCCTCCGTGACTCTCCTCCTCCCTTGTCTGTGTGTCCTCAGCGTGCTCTACGCACATGCCCATGTTCACTCAATCAGGCATGGCCGTGCCATTTAGCTTGCAGGCCCCTTCCTGTTAAATGTATTAGCGCACCTTAATTTATTAGGAAAAAGTAGACATGCAATGAGACCAGAAGAAATAGGGACAGGCTGTGAATGGATTAAACTGTTTTTGATTTGTTGCTCCTACACATTTGGAGGATTTTGGACTCTGAGACAAAGGTGTTTGTGTGAACATGGGATGAAGAGCTGATAGTGTGGTACCTGAAGCAGTTAGGAGTTTTCAGGGCCTCCGTTCACCTGAGAGGTCATTTTCCTTGGGAATTTAACGCAACGACTGGAAAAGCCCGGGATGTGCCTCCCTTTGAGGCCTGCCATTCAGCTTCAGATGTAGACGCTGATAGTTAAGAGTTTTATTGTTGTATTTTTTAATCATGTCATGGGGAGCAACTTACAGATATCATAACATGCCAGTCACTTTAAGCAGTATTATACAGTTGCTACCACAATCAGTTTCAAAACCCTTTCTTTCTTCTTGAACTCCTTGATATCAGCTCCCCTTTATCCCCTCTCTCCCTCACCCTACCCGCCCCCCCCCCCCCCCCCCAGGGATATTGATTGACTGATTGCCAAGTGTACACCATCCAGTAGATCCATTCACAAATATTGATTTGGTTACTTGTTTTTGAACTTCTGGTACCTATTCCCATTGACACCTCACGATCACACAGGCTGGTGTGCTTCTTCCATGTGGGCTTTGTTGTTTCCCTGCTACATGGCTGCTTGTTTAACTACAAGCCTTTAAGACCTCAGACGCTATATCTTTAATAGCCGGACACCATCAGCTTTCTTCACCACATTTGATTATGCACACATTTTGTCTTCAGCGATCCTGGCAGGGAAGTGAGTATCATACAATGCCACATTACTAGAGCAAACCATTCTTGTATTGAGGTAAGATTTAAGTGCTGCAAGTCCAAAGTCCATCTGCTTCCTTGTTGCATTTGTGTGTGTGTGTATCAAATACAAACAAATACACCTACATTTATATATTTATGTGTCTACATATATATATCTATATATTTTTTCCTTTCTTCTTCTTGTTCTTTTTTCTTTCCTCCTGCCCCACTATCATGTTTAGCCATCGCTCACCTCTCATTAATTCCTTTCAGATACAATGCGATGGATCAAACAGGCCCAGAAAAGCTACACCCTCCCTGCCATCAATTTTAGAACCCTTAATACTCCCCTGTACCTGTCATTATTGGCTCCCCTGCCTCCTCCCGTAGCCTGTCCCCCCAGAACGATCAGTCCCATTTCTGTCTCCGTAGGATTGTCTATCCTGCTTATCTTGTATAGATAAACATCAAAAAAAGAAAAGGATGTACAAGTAGTCACAAGTGTAGCAGGGAACCTGACCCAGAGCAGATGAATATCACTGATAAATAGAGAGGAGGACGTGTTACCATCCATCAGTCCAGCCCCCGTTTCTTTCCATGTCCTGGGTCCCGCCTACCTAACAACACATACACCCTTTAGTCTTTAGTATCTGTGTCCGTAGAGTTTATTTTTTAATGTAATGAAAACCTTCTTAAAATGTCCAGACTTTTGTAATAAAAGCAAACAATAGACAGAATTGTGGCTTCATCGATGGATCGGTGACCTGCAGGACAAAGCCCATTTGGGCTTGAGCTTGGAGCTGTTGTAATTTCAAAGCCATGAGTTTAGTTTGCTTATCCTTGTTCGAACCAAATGTTGAGACAGTTACAGCTCTCTGGCATTGCAGTTCTATAGAGAGATGATTTTATACTCCAAGTGTTTTAGAAACTTAAAAGTTACCAATTATAAAATGCTTCCTATTGGCCCTATATCACATGGGAACCCTGAGCCTCTAATTTACTGTGAGTTTCCCTAGGTCAAAGCTGCTTCAGTGGCCACACAGACTTTCTAAAGATTCCTTGATCCTCCTATGCTAGTGCTCTCCATATGGAACAGTCCAGGGGCCACAGCTCCTACATGCAAGCCACCAGCATACTCGAGGAGGGTTCAGCCTGACCCTGCATGTGGCATTTCCCCATCCTAGCCAGCAACAGCCCGTGTTTCCCTGATACACAGCAGCCCGTGCTTTCTCTGTGTTCGTGCACAACAGATGGAAAAGGACGAGCAAAAAGTTCAGCTGTACTGACCCCTCTGTCCAGGCAAACCTAACTTGGCTTTGCTGGAATGCCCAGTAAACAGGCTGGAAATGAAAGACACACACACACACACACACACACACACACACACACACCCTAAAAAAGAAGGAATTTACAATAAATCATAACTTTGAAGATCCATCAAACACAATGAAACATAAGGCAGGGTATTGACACTGAGATGCTTCTAACTTGGTACTGGTACGTGCTAGCTAGCTCAGTGATTCTCTGATGCTGTCACAGAAAAAATACATCTTTCATTTAGGATATATGGTTAGGTCAGCCCAGTTAAACAGACTTTAAAAAACAAACAAACTTGCTGTTAAAAAAAAAGAACATTAAAGTTTTTTCAACATTATTCTAGACCTCATGTCAAAGCTTACGATAGAGTTAAGACTTCCATGTCAAAACTTACGATAGAGTTAAGACTTCACTTTTAGGCTGCTATATTTACATTCCTAAATGTCTCTGATTGTAGACTCTCACACAGAAGAAACTAGGTAGAATGGGGGTGAATGGACGATGCTCATATTTTGCATTTCTACAGCTTTCTCACAGAATTGAAACAAACAGGCACACATGCTTCCATGTAATACAGTCTGACCAACCAAATGAACCCAAGTTTAAATTACACTTTGTAGTTCTCTCATTTTGGACAAGCTACCTAACCTCTCTAAACCTTTTCCACCGTAGATAAAATGTGAGTAGCAACACCTCAAATGCCTTTACTAAATTAGTGTTAGAATTAAGTGAATCCTACATAGAAATGAGTGGTTAACAGTAAGTAGTCTATCAATGATTGCCACACCCATCGTTATCCTCAAGGGACTAAGTAGTGGTGCACTAGAAGCTACTGTCAGTCAGCTTAGCTCTGCAACGGCCGTTTCTGTGAGTGATCGTGATCAGAGTCTGAATGCCTGGTGAGCATTAGGTCAGAATACTTTTCTTTGTAACTCTGGCTATTCTTAAGTCTTTATATCACTTGTACAATGAAGTGATTTTCCTAGTTCTCATTTGTGGATATGGCTCTTGGTAGAACAAATAGCACTGGGCAGCCTGGATCCCTGCCCTGAGGCAAAATCAGTCTCTTAAGTGTTACTCCCTTACATTTGTGCTCTAAGTTTGCCCAAACATCCCTGGGATGGGAGGGAAAGTCAAGACTTCAGCTGATTCACAGATATAAAAACTCTTTGCCTAACCCTAGATCCCTAGACTACCAGTAAGATGTTTGCCTGTGTTTTGTTGACTGTACAAAGGCATTCGACTCTGTGGATCATTACAAATTATAGGTGACTTTGCAAAGAATGAGAATTCCAGAACACTCAATTGTGCTCATGGAAAACCTGTGCGTAGACGGAGACGGCTGTCCTTTGACCAGAACAAGGGATACCATGTGGCTTAAAAAAATCCAGACAGATGGGCAGTGGGGTTGTACTCTTGCCCCATCCTTACTCAGTCCGCATTGTGTGTGCATATCAGGATTGGAGGCAGGCTCTTTGAACAGTTTCTGGTCTGTAGGTGACATAACCTTGCTCGCTGAAAGGGAAGAGGACTTGAAGCACTTACGGGTGGATTTCAAACACTATAGCCTTCCATTTGGATAATACTTTAACCTAAATAAAGAAAACCAGAAATTCTCAATTTTACACAAATAGGCAACATCATGATAAGCAAAGAAAAGCTTGAAATTATTAAGGATTTCCTTTTTCTTGAATCTCTGGGCAAATATGCTGCAAAATAGATATTTAAAGTATGAAAAAGCAAAGGTATTGCTTTCAGGTCTAAGGTGTACCTAACCAAGTCAAAGTATTTTCAGTTGTCTCATGTGCCTACGAAATCTGGACAAAGCATAAGGAAAACTGAATAGAAATTGAATTATGTTTAAGTCATGAATATTGAATATAGCATGAACTACTAGGAGAACTAACAGATCTGTTAGTTTTTTATCTGGAATGAAAATGGCCAGAATGTTCTTTAGAAGCAAGGATGGTGACACTATGTCTCCCACCCTTTGGATATGTTATCTGGCAAGACCATTGCCTAGAAGAGAAAGATGTCATGCTTGGTAAAGTTAAGGGTCAGCAAAACAGAGGAAGATCCTCCGTTGACAGAGCGGCTGCACCAATGGGCCCAAACATAATTGTGAGGGTGGTACAGTCTGGGCAGTGTTTCATTCTGTTGAACATAGGATAGCTATGTGTCCGAACCACTTAAGTGGCCCTTAACAGCAGTAAAAATTCCCTGCAATGGTCTACATTTCCCAAAAAAATTAGAGGTTTACATTTACATCTATGAAACATTTTTAGTTACTTTTTATATGAGGGGATACCCCCCAAAAAAAATCCAGAAAAAAGCTCTGCTGGGTAGAGCTTTTATAGTACATATTTTCCCCCCACTAGGCAAGCATGGAGCTACTCGCCCTGAGTTAGTGCACCCAGTGGCATCACCTGGGAAGGTTCTCTCTGGTCACTGAATTTTCTTGTAAAAATTTCACTTGAACCTCATTTTTTTGTGATGACCGATTTAGGAAAACAGCGTGCAGATGTGAAATTTTGTTTCCTGCTTAGTGAAAAGTGCCGCAGAAACTGTTGTGATGTTGAACACAGCTTACAAGGACAGCGCTATGGGAAAAACTCAATGAGTGGTTTTCTCATTTCAAAAAAGGCAAAATGTCTATTGATGACAAACCTAGTCCTGGACATCCGTAAACTTCCCGGATGGATAAAAATGTCGACTCAAAAAAAAAAAGAAAATGTTGACTCGTAGTGCATTTGAGGTTCGTTCCACTAGGCCAGACTGTTAATCAAGCTTTCTATTTAGAGGTTCTAAAACGATTGTGTAACAGTGTGCGACAAAAAAGGTCTGATTTGTGGCAGACAGGACTGGTTTTGCCACCATGACAATGCACCTGCTCACGCAGCCAGCTCAGGGCACCGGTTTTTGGCAAAAAACAGCATGCCTCTCTTGGCCCACATACCTTACTCACCTGACTTCACTCCATGTGACTTTTTGTTTCTGCAATGGCAGAGGGACATGAAAGGACAGTGATTTGAAGATGTCGAAAAGGTGAAGAGAAAAATGAGGGTGGTAACCATCAGCCATCCAGACAGATGGGTTTGAAAAATATCTTCAAGAATGGAATTGCAGATTTGCCAAATGTATTAAGTATAATGGAGAGTACTTTGAAGGTGATACAGTTGTTTTGTTAAAAAAAAAAAATCTAAATACATAGTTTTGAAAAAAAATCCGGTTGGGGGTGGTGGTGGCTTGGGTCAAGGTTGTTGGTTTGGGTTTTTGTCTTTGGATCCGGTTGATCCATTGGTCATTTATTCTTCCTGTACTGCATTGCTTTTGAGACTTTGTCAAAAATCAATTGAACATTTTTATGAGTCTACTTTCAAAAGTCTATGTCCTTCTCCATTGATCTGTTTCCTCCCGCCAGTACCACCAAGTCTCGATTACTATAGTTGTGGGAAGGCCAATTTCTCCCACTTTATCATTCTCTTTGAAAAATGTTTACCTGTTCTAGTTCCTTTGCTTTTACATATAAATTTTAGAATAATCTTGCCTGTGCAAAGCAGCAAGGCACCCTGGTGACAAAGTGGGTTACACGTTGTGCTGCTAACCAGGTCTGCAGTTCAAAACCACCAGCCGCTCCAAGGGAGAAAGACAGGGCTTTCTACTCCTGCCACCAGTTACAGTCTGAGAAACAGGCACAGGGGCAAGTCTACCTTGTCCTATAGGGCCACTCTGAGCCAGCCTCAATTCGATGGCAGTGAAAGTGAGAGACAGAGATACACAGCAGTTTTCAAAAAGTTGGTGGGGAAAAAAATTAAAAGACAATGACATTTTCCGTTGAATGTTTTGAAGTGCCCTTGTAGCTACAAAAGAAATAAGAAATTTGGGCTAAAGCCATATGTCAGTATGTGGGAAAATGACATCTTTATTATGTTAAGTCTTCCCATCCTGAAACACATGTCTCTACATTTATTTAAGTATTCTTTTACTTCTATCGTCAGCATTTTGTAGTTTTTAGCATGCACTTTTTCTTTTCAGATTTACATCTAAATATTTACATTTTCTTTAGTGATTATAATGGTACTACATGGTTTTCATTTCAGTAACCCTATGCTCATTGCTACTATATAGAATTATAATTGATTTTTTTATATGCTTATCTTATGTCCTAAGATCTTTTCAGCCAATTTATCAGTTTCTGGGAGTTTTGGGTAGTTTTTCTAGGCATTTTCTATGTAAACGGTCATGTCATCTGCAAATAGGGAATTTTATTTCTCTTTTTCTCATCTATGTGGCTTTTCTTTCTTGTCTTATTACACTTCCAGGACTGTATTAAATAGTGAGAGTGCACATCGTTGCCTTAAGCCCAGTCTTCAAGGATTCAGTCTTTCACTGCTAATCATAATGTTAAATACAATGTTGTTCTTTGTTTAGTGGGCTTTTATTAGTCCTGCTTGACTGTGGAAATGCAGCAGTCAATTTACTTATTTGATAGATCCAGGCATTATCAGGTACAATAGACAGATGGATCCAGACCCGAGTGGCTTCCTACCGTGAAACATGAGGAATGAACATAATAGAATTAGGAGGCAGAGAATTTGGACTTAGTTTGACTCCTCCAGCTTCTAGCAAGATGGCCTGCAGCAATTACTTACACCCCTCTCCAAGCCATAGCCTCATCCCAGAAGAGTGCTAAGCTATTTCTTCACTCAGTTTGTGCCGGAAGTAAAATCTGGGAGTGGTATCTGGGTCCGGTAGAAGCCATCCTGACCACACAGCAAGAGCTGGGACATGGCCTCTGGGAGCTCAGTAAGATCTTCACGTGGCCCTAGTCCACCCCACCCAGCACTTGGGTGCACCTGTCTCCGTGCATGATGGGATGACCTCTGCTAGATCATTAGAATTGCCGCTTGAGGTCTTGAGACTAGAAGGCTCCGTAATCCGTGCATACTTGCTGGGTGCTCCAGGGCAGACTCCCTTGGGTTTGTTTCCTGACTTCTCCACGCACATCTGTGTGAGCCTGGGCAGATTACCATGCCCCCCCCCACCCCCCCACCCCCCCGCTCTCAGGTTCCACCTGTGAAATGGGGATGACGACAGACCTGCTCCCGAGCCGCTGTGAGGACCCATTGAGCAAATCACACACGTGTCGTTTCCATGGCAGCCCCTGACAAGAAACGATGGTAGCTACTGTCATTACGATTGGTGACTAGGAAGGACACATACTTCTTTGTGAATCGCCTTTGTTAAAAACAAAATTGTTTGCTTTGCAGATTTAAAAAAAAATGGATTTGGCCAACCACGGACTTATTCTACTGCAACAGTTAAACGCGCAGCGAGAATTTGGTTTCCTGTGTGACTGCACGGTTGCAATCGGCGATGTGTACTTCAAGGCACACAAATCAGTTCTTGCTTCATTCTCCAATTACTTTAAGATGTTGTTTGTCCATCAGACCAGGTAACTAACGTGGTTGATAATAATCGAATGGCTGTAGACTTCTCAATGTCATGTGCCTCTTTCCTCACCAAGACTGTGGGTCTCTGCATGTGGTTGATAGTAATCGATGGCTGTAGACTTCTCAATGTCATGTGCCTCTTTCCCTCACCAAGACTGTGAGGCCGGACTGCTCCTTAGACTCCAGTCCCCCAGTTCCTTTGACCTCCCTCGACCCCTCTACCCATTTTGCCTCCTCCTACTTTCAGTGCTGCTTGAGGGTCGATGGCTAGCCCCAAGCAGCTCTTCTGCTGCCCTCCTCCGCATGTATTTGAGGTGGGGTCCTTTGCAAGCTCAGCTATTTAACAGCTGCAGTGGACCCATCTCTCATTAATTTTCTTTTCTGTGAACGCCTCCCTTTCAAAGCCCGTTCTTGCGTTCCTTAAATCCCAGCCCCATAAGTCACCTCCTGATTTTCAATATTTATCAGTTTCCAATTCTAATGGCGAGGCCATGCATTTCCCTCATTTCCCACTTTCCTCCGTGAAAGTATCTCAAGGCCTGTGCTCAACTGCCTTTCTCCTCTCTACTGCTTCAGACGCTTTACTTTCCCTCTCGTGCCCCAGGACCCCGCCCCTGAAATCTAGGAGGAGGCAAGGCTTCCTCAGCACTGCTGTCTCCTGGAGTCACCGCACTTCTTGGAGGATCGATCACCTGTGCTGCTGCTTGTACTGCCTGTCCCAGGCTCCTCCTGTCCCCGCGCAGTAAGGTCTCCACCCCATCACTCTCCTAAAGTCCTTCTCCCCAAGGTCACCTTGTCCTCAACACCACTGCCCTTCGTATCCTATCATCTGTGTGTTTGCTACTCTTCCTCCTTAAGAAGGGGTCTCGTGCATTTCTGTAACTTTGTGAGGCCCCATTCTTCTGCCCCTAAATGTGAGCCTTCCATGAATTCTGGTCATGGGCTCCTCTGTGTGCACTCTCCCTTCTAGGTTTGTCCCCCACCCCACCCCCGCCCAGCTCTGCTGGAGACTTCCAGTTTACAGGGTTTAGAATTGGACTTCTTCTTTTTACCTCCTTGTGCAGGGCTAAAACAGGATCCAGTCTCCACCCGCAAAGTTTGAATAGCACCACCTTAAAATCTCTGTCAGTATTTGTTTTATCTTAATCGGTTGTCTTTTATTTCAGAATCCTTTCACAATGGTCTTTTCCTAACTTGTCTCACCTCCATTTCCTAATCATTCATGTTTCAGATTACTGCCAGCTCTGATGGTGCTGTGGGTTAGACACCAGGCTGCTCCCCACAAGGTCGGTGGTTCAAACCCACACACCACCACTCCTCAGAAGAAAGATAGGCCTGTCTGCTCCCATAAAGATGTACACATAATGAAAAAAAAAAGATGTACACATACTGTTGGAGTCCTTATCCAGGGTCAGTATTAGTCGGAATAGGCTCAGTGGCAATGAGTTGGGTTTGGGTTTGAGTTGGGTTAATGTGCCTTGGATCAGAAACCTAGTAAGTTCCTTTTATCAGAAACCAAGATGCTTCTGGAATAAGGTTTCTGTACAAGATTCGTGTTCTGACATTCAAGACCCCAGAGGCTTAGGGCCTGGCCTCTTTCCGCCTCATCACCATCTAGGCCGCATCCCCACCCCTTACTCCAGTGCTGTGGCTCACCTGAATGGTTCTTTCTGCCCACCCCCTAGGTTTGAGTCCACACACCCGCCCTTCCACAACCTGGTCTGATCAGGCGACGCAAATGAGCCAAGGGTCCTGGATCGCTCATTTTCACCGCCTCTTAGTGATGCCTCTTGGCAGCTTCTGCACGGTCTCTCTGTGTTTTGTCATTTGTGTACTGACTTTCCTTCTGCGTTTTAAGTGTCCTAAGAGCAGAGAGCAGGCTTGACACATGTTTGTGAACCCACAGTGTCCAGGCCAGCTTTCCATCAGTGTATGGATGAGAAGAATGAGTGAAGGATGCCATCAAAGATGTGGGGAGATTGCTGTGTCTTAGAGTCACAAGGATGCTCCTTTTCACTTCACTGTGTTTGAGACGGCACAGCCAAGGGAGGGGAGGGAGGTGGTACCCAGACTATCGCCACAGTTGAAAGAAGGCAAGCTAATGGGTCTTCATTCCCTGCAAGAAATGGAAGTCTAGAGCAATAAGTAGATTTAATAATGGAAAGAGAGATGGATGTCGCTACAGGCTGAAGCCTCAGCAGTAGTTTGTGGCCAGAGGTGGCACCTGGCACCTTCATACATAGAATCAAGCCTCTGTGATGCCAAGCCCACCACCAAAGAAGCTGAGCCTGGGCTGCCCAGCCATGCCTGCATGCGAGGCTCACTGCTCAGGGTCCTGTCTGCCGGCTGTCATTGCCACTGGATGTCTCTGTCCCTGTGTGCTGTTTTACATGGGAAGTTGAGAGGGGGGCAGGATGGGAGGGACAGTCTTCTGAGGATGCTGCTATTTTAGAAGCCTTATTTTTAAAGGTCTTTAAAACCACCATTTGTTTTAAGATCCTAGAGAAGGAGGAAGCAGGCCCGGTGGTGCAACAGTTGAGTTAACCCGACAGACGGCTAAGCCCAGCCCCTCAGGCACTCTGCAGGGGAACAGTCGAGCTAGCTTGCTCCCCTAAAATTACCAGCCTGGGAAACCCCGAGATACAGTTCCACTCTGTCACGGGCCGCTGGCCTCGGAAATCCACTCGGTGACTTTCCAAGGACAACCGTGAGCGAGAACCTGGAAATGCAGGGCAGCTTGAGGGAAGGGTTCTGGGGGAGGGAGTTGAGCGGCAGGAACACGGTGTTCCTTTGTTCTGCATGAAAGTGTTGTGTCAACAGATGCTGCACATTCAGCCACACAGGCATCGTGGGACACTGTCAAAGTCTGGACCCCAGGAGCTAAGTCATTCAGAAAGGGCTGTCTGGGGACGGGCTCAGTAAAGGTCAACACAGCCCAGGTTGGAGATGGGGATGTGCAAGACGATCCCACTGAATTCTGTGTGCGTGTGTGCATCTGTACCCATGCTTCTGTGTTACGAGGGGGAAAATAACCTTTAAAAAGTGAAAATAAAATTGATTTTGGGAAACCTGACTGGGCCCTAGGGCAGTGCCAGGCACAGAGCTCCAAGGATGACCAGCTGTGGTCTCTCTGAAAGCTTCTCCACAGGACTTCTGCCCCCCAAGCCCTTTGCCCTCAAGACCTGACTGAAATGTTGGCTGTTCCCCCACCACCACCACCACCACCACTTTCTCCTTTTCCCTCAGAGACCACCGCACACTTGTGCAGTGCCTTAAGTGTCCCTGCCACATCCCTCAGTCACAAGCCACAGACGGAGGACAATCCATAGGACAACCAACATGAGGTGAAATTACAAAATGTAGAGCAAAGTTCTTATCGAAAGTCTTTCCCCGTTGGTAGTACCATTCAGGGATGCTGGAAGGCAAAGCCTCCCAACCCCTTAGCCAGCCTGGAGGTCACGCCACCTGGCAGAACAAAAGGAGCCCGGGGCATCGTGTGTATCTGTGAAGGCCTTGGTCCCGCTTCCTAGGCCTCTGCTGGTGGAAAGAGCGCCCCCACACTGAGCACGCAAGCTTTGTCTGCACCATTAAACTACCCAGGAACATCTAAATATAATGCACACAAAATATTTCTCGAACTCTCCTGGTGCTCAAAGAAAGGCCACCTGTCTGAGCATCCCTAGCTAAAGGTGTGAAATGATTCCAAGCCAAGAAAGCAAAGACCTGCATGGTGGGCTTTTGTTTGGTGTGAAGAAAAATGCCCCCTAAGCAGTTCCCTTCGCCCTGCGGGTGGGAGGCTGCTGCTCACGCCTGGTCTTGTTCTCTGACTTCCAGGCTGTATGTGCCCTCAGATAGTTCCCACATTTGCAAGCAGTCATCTGAAAGTAGGCACGCATGGATCGATCCGAGCTCAGTCATGAGTCACATCTGTGGCGTCCTCAAAATTGCTGACATAGCATTGTCCTTGGTTTCCTGTTCTTTTGTCTGATACAATAAAAGATTACATTTAAGAATAGTGAAGGATACTCAAACATCCTGAAGAACATTTAATAATAAGACACAGGTGGTTGCTAAAGGAACCAAAAAGAGTAGCGTTACATTACCAAAGAAGAGGAATAGTCCAAAGCAATTCAGAGTTCAAAAAGGCATTAAAGGAAGCTTTGGACTTTAAATGTTCTCGTCTGTAGAATATAGCCATTCAGGAGATGACAATAAAGACCTTGAGATATGTGAGGGTGGGACAAAGTACTGCTACCACGTCACAGGGACTTTATTCAACAAAAACACCCAAACATGAAGCTTTGCTTCTTGTCACACCCTTCGTATAGGTCTGTACACTCATGATGGTGATATTCCCATCTCTCTGACCCGTCTAGAGCAGGAGCCTTGCTCGACTAGTGGCTTTTTACAAGTTGGGCTGCGAACCACGAGGTCAACAGTTCAAAGCCACCAGCCTCTCGGTGGGAGAAATTGGAGGCTTTCTACTCCTATAAAGAGTTCCAGTCTCGGAAACCCACCGGGGCAGTTCAACCCTGTCCTGTAGGCTCCCTCGAAGTCAGAATCAATTTGATGGCGGTGAGTGAGCGCCTTCCTGACAAAGTCTACACCCTGCCATTCACACCACATGAAAATGGGTCCTGGCGTTTTCTAGGAATGCAGAGTGTTCCCCTTTCAAATGGTCTTTGTGTTTGGGGAACAAAAGGAAGTCTTGAAGGGGCAAGATGGGACTATCGGTTAGATGGGGGGAGGCTTCCCACCAACATTCTCCTGGGAGGACAACGCGAGCTACCCCTGAAAAAAACCAGCGCGGGCATGTTGGTCGCTGTGCAGGAATAAAACGTCCCTGCAGGACATTCCTGGCTGCCTTCTCACCCGTTCAGTTCTCACTGCTCTTAGAATTTCTGCATAATGAGCCCCTGACCACCCGGGAACTTTCTAGAACATCTGTAAAGATTTCCCCTCAGGGGTCCAAACAAAACAAACCCGCCTCCATCGCCTTCTGAGGGGGCCGTTCTCCCTTGAACTTGACTGGCCCAGCAGATTCCTTCAGACCCCCTATTTGGATGGGACTGTTTTTCCTTGGAGGCAGCCTGCCCAGGCCGGCTCCTGGGTCCCTGAGAGAACTCATGTGTGACGATCCACTGGTCGCAGGGATGGAGCGCACTTTGTTGGGAGTAAACCCCCGCACGTATAAACTGGCACCCCGTAGCAATACCCGCTGACTTAGCCAAGCATGTATCTCTCCGGTTCTCCTCGATGACTTGGAATTTCGGTCATTACTGACGGCCTAGCGGAAGTCCTTAGGAACCCCCTGATTATTGCTGCATAGCCAGTGTGATGTTCCTTGAAAAAGACGCACACCCTCGAATGAGGGCCACCGACTGCTCTGGGTGTGTGTCCCTGTTGACCACCTCTGCCGGGAGGGCGGGAGTCACGCAGGCGTCCTTCTCAGGTGCTCTGCCCCTTGTGTCTTTCAGCGAGTGCGTCCGCCTGAAGCCCACGGACATCCAGCCCGACATCTTCAGCTATCTGCTGCACCTGATGTACACGGGCAAGATGGCACCGCAGCTCATCGACCCCGTGCGCCTGGAGCAGGGCATCAAGTTCCTGCACGCCTACCCGCTCATCCAGGAAGCCAGCCTCGCCAGCCAGGGCGCCTTCTCGCACCCGGACCAGGTGTTCCCGCTCGCCTCCTCCTTGTACGGCATCCAAATTGCGGACCATCAGCTGAGACAGGCCAGCAAGGTCACTCCGCCGGCCCCCGAGAAGCTGGGGCGCGAGCCCCGGCCTCCCCCACCCAGGGTGAGCCAGGAGCAGGTGCCCGAGGCCCCTCGGCTCTCCCAGCTCACCCCGAACCTGCCCCAGGTGAGCCGAACCAACCTGACCCCCTCGGATCCGCTGCAGACCTCCCTGTCTCCCGAACTCGTCTCCACCCCCGTCCCCCCACCGCCCTCCGGGGAGGAAACCAACCTGGAGGCCTCGTCCTCGGACGAGCAGCCTGCCCCGCTGACCATCACCCACGTCAAGCCGAGCATCATGAAGCGCAACGGGAGCTTCCCCAAGTACTACGCCTGCCACCTGTGCGGGCGGCGCTTCACGCTGCGCAGCAGCCTGCGGGAGCACCTCCAGATCCACACCGGGGTGCCCTTCACGGCCAGCCAGCCGGGCGACGGCCGCGTGCCCCTGGCCCTGTGCACGAACGCCGCCGACCTGGGCAAGGACATGGCCATGGAAGTGCCCGAGGCGGGCATGATCAGCGACACGGAGCTGCAGCCCGTGTCCGACTCGCCGCTCATCGACGGGCAGCAGCAGTCGGAGACGCCGCCCCCCTCAGACATCGCGGACATCGACAACCTGGAGCAGGCCGACCAGGAGCGGGAGGTGAAGCGGCGCAAGTACGAGTGCACCATCTGCGGGCGCAAGTTCATCCAGAAGAGCCACTGGCGGGAGCACATGTACATCCACACCGGGAAGCCCTTCAAGTGCAGCACCTGCGACAAGAGCTTCTGCAGGGCCAACCAGGCGGCGCGGCACGTGTGCCTCAACCAGAGCACGGACACGTACACCATGGTGGACAAGCAGACTCTGGAGCTGTGCACGTTCGAGGAGGGCAGCCAGATGGACAACATGCTGGTGCAGACCAACAAGCCCTACAAGTGCAACCTGTGCGACAAAACCTTCTCCACGCCCAGCGAGGTGGTCAAGCACGCGTGCCAAAACCAGAACGCGGACGTGTTCGCGCTGGACGAGGGCCGCTCCATTCTCCTGGGCGGCGGGGACTCGGAAGTGACGGAACCCGAGCACCCCGTGTTAGCGTCCATCAAAAAGGAACAGGAAACAGTGTTACTGGACTGACGGCGACTGGCCTTTTTAAGAAAAACTCGTTTTTACCCACTCAGAACTGTACACTATGGTTCTCCATGGCATGAATCAAACGGGTCGATGACCCCCTTCCTTTCCCTTATCCCTTCTCTCCCGACCCTGCCCCCTACTCCCCCAGCCCCACCCCGGGAAAGGCTTTGTGCATTATAGACCTGAAATATAACCTACTTTTCACACAGGGGATATTGGAAAGATAATGGTCGGTAGTACTTATAAACACAAATAGGCTGAGAAATTGTAGATTATTTAAGAGTATACTTGGAACTAATGAAGGGTATATACGAAAACGATCAGAATGCAATTTGGTTTAAGCTAAAATTATGACTTCCCCTGGGTAAGAAGTCTTCCTTCTCAGAAAAACCCTTATCAGAAAAGGCAGCATGCTCTGGGCTCTGTACTATGCAAAAATCTTGACCGTGTCGGAAATTGTAAACCCAAGCCAGTGCTCCTAGTATGTATCCTCCAGGGGTTCCTTCAGAGTCCATCCTTTGAGATTATGTCCCGTCAAGAAAAATCATCCGTTGTGAAGTCAAAAGAAAAGAAAAAAACTACAATAATGTGATGGCAATCTTAATTTGGGGGTAGAACGTGGCAAGCTCTTTTTGTGTGTTTGTAAGGAAATGTGTGGGGACCAGTTCTAGTGGAGGCAAACCCCACAACGAAATGCTGTGTTTTCAGTGTCTAACAGATTTCTTGTCCGCTTCCAAAAATCAAATTTGGAAATACCTACAGATTGTCCTTCTGAACAGAAAATGATTTGCCACTACTAACAACTGCCAGCAGTAGACATGCCCGCACCAGCCGGGTGCTCATCATTCGGGGTGTAATACTTCAGGGAGAAGGATACGGGCGAGGCGCTGTGGCTTGTAGTCATGTCAGTAGTTGGAGCCAATAGCTGCTCAGCAATGTTCACTGAAGCATCAAAACTGGCAAAGAGAAATCGGGACAACAAAACAAAACAAGCTTTGTTTAGGCGGGAAAAAACACTTGAATTCAGTGTTTTATTGTCCACCTTTTTTCCTATACCTGAAATTCTCTCCATTGGCCTGAAAGCAGTAGAAATTGTTCCTAATTCTTCCCTTAGGCACAAACTAGAATGGTCTCACAAGACAGAACAGGAGCCGGTAATAAGGCTGAAAGGGAACCGAGCCGGGGAAGGCCCCTTAATAGCTCTACTCTCTGTATATGTTGAAAACCGAATATCCCAGCACCCTTTTCCATGTATAGTTCAGTTCTCAGATTTGTAAGTTTTTATACATCCTTTCATTGAATAAACATTTAATTAAATGGGTCTGGGCATGGCTCTGTCTGTCCCAAAGGAGGCCAGGCAACAAGGGGAGTGTGGCGAGGAGCGCCCTCCAGCTCTGTGCTCTCTGTGAAGCAGGACTTGGGCCTGTTCTCTAATCCGAGTGCCATTCTCTGCAGCCGTAAAGTGGAGACCTTGGTAGCTGAATTGGGTGATTGGACAGCAATAATCAAGAGTAAAAACCGTGACGACAACGAACAGGAAATGTTTGACCACGAGTGGGTCTTCCTTTTGCCAGGAAGAAACAGGCACAAGGGGTATTTGCCTAACAGTAGCAAAAATTGAAGATGGTGTATAAGCAAACCATGGTTATTAAATATTGAGTGGTCTCTACCAAATTCATCTTTTACAAAAACCCAACATTCCAATCAATCATCTTGCAACTTAAATGCAAGCTGTATGCCAGATGGTGTATTAGTTTCTTGGATGCTATAAAAGCATGGTTGTATAGTGGTTATGCTTTGGGCTGCTAACCTGAAGGTCAGCAATTTGACTCTTCTAGCTACTCCATGAGAAAAAGACAAGGCTTTCTCCTCCCATAAACTGTTAGGGTCTCAGAAACTCCGAAGGGCAGTTCTACCCTGCCCTACAGGGTCACTGTGAGTCAGAATCGATTGGATGGCAGTGAGGTTGAGTTTGGGAGTTAGATGAAAATGCAAATCACAGTGGGCCTTGCAGTCTGCATACTTCCTGCATCCTACAGGGCAAACCCACCCCACCCCTCGCCCATCCCACACCCCACCTTCCTGTGTCCTGAAGGGGAGTGATATATAGGCAGAGGGCAGAATCTGTTTGGTTTCTTTTATAGGTTTTGGTGAAAGATTGTCCAGTCCACTTGGACATTAATGTCCAATCCATTAAGCCTTTTTATATAATTTATGTTCAGTTTTCATACAAAAGAAAATTTGTTTCACATTCGTAAAAATCCCAATTATTATAAAGGAAAAGGAAACCCACCCCTAGTCTTCCCTTTATTAAATATATAAATAGTTAAGAAGTACACATTTAGATTGGTGTAATCTTGAAATGTTATCTAATAAGACTGAAAACTAAACATTTCAGGTCCTGTACCAAATAATAAAACACTCATAGGCCTGCGGGATCCTTTGATTCACATCAAGAAGAGAACCAGTGTTGGATGTGGTAAAAGAAATGTGGTCATCTCCAATGACAATGTCAAGTTCCTGTCAGCCAACCCTGTAGGGGCGGCCACAAAGCATCGGCTTCTTTTGTAATGTCACTGTCATCAGTAATTCTCTTCCATAATGTTCTTCCATTACACTCATGTACAGAAGCCTCTGTTCTGATCATGACATCATTTTTGTGATTGCTGTTGTGGGCAGACCTAAGCTTTCCGTCTGGTCAAAATTCGAACTCCAGGAACTGGTGTTTAAACTCGCACTTGTGCCCTACATAATAGCGCCAGTAGATATCGCTGGCCATCGACATTTTGGGGCCTGATCAGACCACCCAAGGCTCGGGCAATATGCTGCCTAGCACCTGGAAGTCCGAGGGCAGAATCTTGAGGATGGAAAGTGATGACCGCTGTGAGGTATGATGGTGGGGGATGGGAAGGCTGAGGGCAGCATACCAGCTGGCTCCTGGTTTCAGGCAGGGCAAGGGCCGGCCTGGCTTTCAGGGACCTGTGGATGGACACCACCTATGGTGGCCGCCACCGCCTCCCATTGGCAGGCCTGCAAAACCCAGCTCCTTCCCAATGGGTCTCCCACGCTCTCCTTTCCCTTATCCCGCTCTTCCTTCCCTCCTAAAGGAAGAGTGGACCTCCCAAAGCCCACCCCGCCCCTCCCTGTGCGATGCTCTGCACCAATACGAACCCACGAGGCTTAAATCCCACAGGGCATCCCAAGTTTCTGGGGGCACCCACTTCCATGCACCTAGAAATGTCTCCCTCGCTCTTCCTCTGTGGGACAAACTGGAAAACCATTCGCTCCTTCAATGGCTGTTGCTTAAAAAATCGTGACCATCATCCACCACCCACCACCACCGCCTTCTGCTTACGAAGTGGCCACTGTTGCACTGTTTACAGAGCGGCAGCGACTCAGCGGATGGATGAGGTGGGGGTAGGAGAATACATGCTGAATACAGTCAAACCCGCATAAGCCTGAACCCGTGTAAAGCAGAACACCTGTCTAAGAAGGAAAACACGACTATTTTCCACTAAAATGAGTGATTTAAAAGTGTTTAGACTACCCTCTCAAAGGTGGAAAACTTGGGAGTCCCAGAAAAGCAAGGCAGCCCCCTCTGGGGGTTCCAACACTCCCAGATGTCACTAGTTTCTCCAGTCCTGCTGGAGTTCAGATTGGGCCCAAGGGAGCCCTCCTCACTCATTTATTGGATGCTAAGACTGTAGGGCAAGCTGAGAGTTTATTGTAATACAAAGTTCATTGTAATTCGTATTGTTATGCAACCTCACTTGTCCCACACTGGCATTTTTCAAGATAATGCTCAGAATCCTCTGGGTATTTAAATCATCATTTGTTTTCAGTTTTGGCATTAGGTCTAATTTAAAGGATGGTGTGTTAGTCCGGGTAGACTAGAGAAACAAATCCATAGAAACTCATAAAAAAGACAGAGTTTTATATAAAGGATAATTGTGCATTAAGAAAGTATCCCAACCTAGTCCAGTCCAAGCCCATAAGCCTGATATTAGCCCATACGTCCGATACCGATCTATAAAGTCCTCTTCAGACTCACGAAATACATGCAATGATGCTGAATGCAGGACGATCACAGGCCAGTGGGTAGGAAGTCTTTGGACCCAGTGGCATTATAAGCATCTCAGTGCTGGCAGGGGTCTCTACATGGCTTCTCCAGCTTCAGAGGTCTGACTGCATCAGGGTAGGTCCATGTGGCTTTTCCGGCTCAGCACTAGCGTAGTTCCATGTGTCTTGTCAGCTGCAATGTCGGGGAGTCAGCCTTGTCAGTAGTAGAGTGTCTCTTGGGGAGTGAGCAGAGAGAGCGTCTGTCTTCCACCGCCAAGAAGGAAAATACTGGAATTCCCAGAATCCTTAAGGAAGGCCATTCCCACACAGAAGCCTCAATTGGTTATCACCCGATTGACAGTAGACTCCACCCCTTCACTCTTAATCCTCTTAAATCCCAAATTGACACCAGATTATGTAACTACATAATCATTTGCTACACCTCATTTGCGGGTTAGCAAGATAAAGGCTTAGAAGTTAACAATTTCAATAACTTAACAACTTAATTGGCAAATAAACCACCAATTAAGATACAGCTCAAGGAATCTGCCTTTTTGAGGAATATCTACGTAAACACAGGTATAAGAGCATCAAATGGGGAAGACAAATATCAGACTGGGACTATACAGATCGCTCACTACCATCAATTCAATTCTGATTCATAACGAGCCAGTAGGATGGGGTAGAACCACCCCTGTGCATACGTTTTATGGGAACTCTTTACGGGTGTTGACAGCCTTGTCTTTGTCCAGAAGAGCGGCTGGTGGTTTGAAACTGTCGTCGGACTACAAGAATTCCAGGAGAGCCTGTCACACTGTAGCCCAAAACGGAGACCAAGTGATTCGAGAATTTCTAAGTTTATTCCTGCACGCACTTGCAAGAGGAAAACAGCCAGGGGTCTTCTCTGAGTTGTTTCAGAGTTCAGTCCTGACCCCACAAGTTAATATACAAGAAGCAGGGTTTTTCCCAACAGCGATAGAAAGATTGTACAATGTCACAGGATACAATTGATACTCTAATTAAGCAGGTTTTGGTAGGGACACTCAAGAAATTATTTATACCTCCATTTTCTCCGGGGGCACTAGACCACCATCCCCTGATGCTTCATCCACCCTCGTTTATCTAAATTAGGGTGATGTTTGTGTCTGGCTATTTATCTTACTGACGTTGTCCTCTGCTCAGTTGAAACATCCCTGCTGATATGCTGTCAGGAAGGGGACTATTACAGTTTGCATTTTTAACAAACCAATTTTTAAGTTGTTTTATTTCTAGCGTTTATTTACCCTATATAAAACTGTGGGCCTTGACGTTAGCTAAAGCTTACCCGCTCTGCCACCAGGACTCTATGTATATCACTGCCAACTCACAGGAATCCAGTCGGACAGAGTTGAACTGCCCCTGTGAGTTTCTGAGACTAACTGTTTACAGGAGTAAAGCCATGTCTTTCTCCCAAGGAGCAGATGGTGGTTTTGAACTGCTGACCTTGTAATTAGTGGTCCAACTGGTAACCACTACGCCACCAGGGCTTCTATTTGTGCACATAAAAAGCGTCAATGAAGTGCATGCACCAGGCTCTGCTCCTCACTACTTACCCTGTATAAACCTGTTGGTGGCTGGGCAGGTCGGCATCTATGGAGAACGTCAGGCTGAGGGAGAGCGTGTCTTCCCACAGCAATCCTGTCAGGCCAGCCTCCCTTTTCCACAGATGAGGAAACTGAAAGAAGTTCAACTTTCCTGAGGTTCCAAAACCAAGAAGCGAGAGCCAAGATTCAAACCCCCACCACCATCACCCACCCATCCACATCCACATCATGTATCATCCCCAAAACATGCTTTCTCCTGTAGCCTGACATCTCTGGTTGGTGGTTCAAGTCCACCCTCAGAAGAAACTCCTGGTGTTGTGCTTCCGAAATCAGCCATTGAAGACTCTGCGGGGTCCAAAGAACTCCATAATCACGGTTTCCTTTTACTTTCTTTTGTTTTGTGATGTTCTGAAATCGAGCCCATTGCCCCCAAGCTAACGGCAGCTCAGGACAAACTCCTATCTTATGAGGGGGCTTCAACATTTAAGGGGGGGAAATCCACAATGTTTTCACATTTTTTCCGTGAACTTTTGAAATCTCTTTCTATGGGGCAGAATTTCTCCAGAGGGCTCAGCTGTGATCATCACAAAAGCAGATTGCCTGGCCTTGCTTCTGTGGTACTGCCAAGGGAGTTCAAACTACCAACCTTCAGGGCAGTAGTTGAGCCACACTTCA